TACTGGGCCTCTTGCGGTTGGGCCTCCCAACTGTCAGTGTATGATGCTGCGATTCTCGCCCAGGGCCTGCATTCTTTGGAAAGGCCCAGAAGGCCTTAGAAATGTCTTTGCTGCTCGGCCTGGGTTCCTCTCAACCAACTGACGCGTCGCAACTGCCTGGACCCCAAATATGAATTTGACGGTCGAGGGCCTTTTGTGATATGTTAGGCCCGCCTTCACTTAGGGCGGGCACTCTTACAACAGGGGCCCTTCAGGCCTGCTGAGGACCCAGATCCTCGCACCGATGTGAACGTCAGACCAATCACAGACCCAGTCCTGGACCAAGGTCTTGGTGGTGCTCTGGCGGAGAGGGAATGGCAGTGAGGCTTGGATGAGCGATTGCTGTGTATTGGTCAATCACATGCAGACTGGGGCCACTAGCCCAGACCGCTTGAGTCTGAGTGTGCCTCACAGAAGCTAGAAAGCCACAGCCTCCTGTCAAAGGAAGTTGCATTTAAACTTTTAAAGGAAAAGGATCATGAAAACCGAGGCAGTCTCCAGGGGTGCGAATGGGACGCTGGACCCATTTTCCAGCAAGAGAGGTGCTCGGATTTCTCATCGATTTCTCATCAATTTCCCATTTTTCAAAAAAAAAAAAAAAAAAAAAAGGATCACTAGAACCGCTGCCACACATGCACACTGGGGACGTTAATTCTGCACGGGTAATTCTGTGACCGCTGGAGTCAGCAACTAGCGCAGACCACATGCTCACTGGGGAACTTGAAATTAACCCAGACAGTTCGAGTCAAAATGTGCCTCACAAAAGCTAGAAAGCCACAGCTTGCAGGTTTGGCAGGCAAAAAGCGCTTTAAAGCTTGAATGTTAGAACTTAGAAGCAAACATGCAATTGCGTGCGGTGTCGAAGCAGGGGGAAAACCTTTTTCAGGGGGGAAACTGGGACAAAGATCCGCGGAAATGAACCTGAGAGACTGACGCACAACTACCACCATGAAGGACAATTTGAAAGTCAAGTCACGATTTCGAGGGGGATGGGGGAAAGAAATGCTGGAAGTTTTCAAAAGGTGATTGTATGTACTTAGGACTGCATCTACAGAAAAAATAAGGAGTCAATTGCTTTTCAAAGAAAGCAGAAAAGGTTGAAGTGTACGCATCATGTGTATGGCTTTCGGCACTGCAGGTCCTTCTGCCTCCTCAGTGTGGCTGCCCTGCCTACCGCACTGCTGTGGCTACCGTCTTCACCCGAATAGAACGCCCGGTAATTATAGTTGTATCTGGACAGAAATGTGCATCAAATACGGCGATAATGACCGGGCGTTCTATTCGGGTGAAGACGGTAGTTGGGGAAGCTTCTCTGCAAACCCCCTCCTGCATTCAGCTTTACTTCATTATGTTTGTTTGTCCTACATGACCATCATATCTTCCTTCTCCTCCTCCTCCTCATCTACCTTCGGCTGGCCGGGGTTCACAAGCGAAAGAAGACAGATGAACGGGGGCAGCATTTGCTTGTCCGCATTCAACCCATCTTCCATCCAGAGGAGGGTAAAGGGAACGAATGACAGCAGCAGTCCGTCATTCTTGTTGGGAATTTGTTCTATATATGACTGGCACGACCGATCCGATTCCGATGCCCAGCAAGGTTTTCCCACAAGCCTTCGTGTTGGTGTATCAATGGGGGACTTCGCCATGCACAATCATTTATTAAATTCACACCGATGAAGTCTGCTGCGTTTTCTCTGTTCTGGTCTGCCAACCTCTGCGTGTGCGTGGTAAGCACCACCACTCCCTTTCCCAATTCCTTTTGTTCTGGCCCATCCTTGTTGTATGGTTCTCCCTGAAGGCTCGTGACATAAATTCTGGATGGTTACCATTTTTTAGCTATCCCTTCTCGTTTAGGGTCTCAGAGCTTCATTTCTTCTTTCCTTTTTTTTTTTTTTTTTTTTAATAACAAATTCCATGGCGTCAGGTAGGAGTGATGATACGACCATGCACTCCTACCTGACTTATCGGGGCTCCATTCTATTGGTGGGGAGCTGCACCTGCTGGAAACCGGGTCCAGCAACCCATGAGAAACAGTGAAGGACCGAGGTACAACACAGACTGGGAACCGGGCCCAACGTCCCTTCTGATCAGTGCCAGTGGGAAATCTGCAACTGCGTGTTGCCAGATATATGTATCTTCCTAGCACTTAATCACACTTGTTCTTGAGGAAGGCTGACCCCAACATTCACAGACAATGCAAGGGATTTTCCAGATCATTCATACGCATACCACGACCTAGGAACTAACCAAAGGTTCGAGAGAGGGAAGGGATCAGGGAAATCCGACAAAGGTCTTAAAGGTACAGTAAGATCAATGTTGCTCCAGTCATTGAAGGCCAGGTTCCTTGGGATCTCCTCTTGGGCGTTCTCTTTTGTTCCTTCACACTTCACTCATCCCAATCTCCCTCCCTGGTCCCCTCCAAGCCAGTTCTGATTGAATGTTTTGATATGATGCAATATTTCTATTTTTAGTGACATAAATTGTAATTCTTCCTTCACTCTTAATTTCTTCAAAATTCGCTCGGAATTACTTTAAGTAATTCATAAAATTTTTGATACCTCAAACTTTTCAATCTCCTTACGTTTAATTACAAATGATATTAATTCGGCAATTAATCAAATTTCTTGAATTATTAACCTTTTCGTTAAAATTCTCCCCTTTAGAATTCATCAATTATTAATTTGAAATCAACTCGGAATTACTTTCAAATTAATTTGGAATTTCAACCTTTTCCTTCTTTTTTTTTGTAAAATATATATATTATTTCCCTTTCTTCTGTTAATTCTTTTCGAATGAATTCATCTGAGATTAATTTAATTCGAAAACATTTCGGCGTTAATTAATTCTTTTCTTCGAAATTTCACCTTTTTTTTTCTCTTGTAAAATCTACTTCTGAACTCAATTAATCCACATCGAAATTTAATTTCTTTATTCGGAATTAATTATCCTTTTTTTGAAACTTGAACATTTCCCTTTTGTAAAATCCCTGCAACATATCTTTTTTAAATTCATCAATTATGCTTGAATAAATCCCATTAATCTAGAATTAAATAAAAAATTAATATTCGGAATTAGTCCCTTCCTTTTCCCCCCTTCATTTTTCAATAAAAATTTTAAAATTCTCTTCATTTTGTATAAAAAAAAAAAAACCTTCAACCCCCCTTCCCCCCCCTTCCGCCCCCTTGTGCCAAACCAACACCTCGTGCAAAGTTGCTGAAGTTGTTGCCGCAGATGTCGCCTCATCTGCTGCTCCCACTTCAGTCACTGCCGCCGCTGCCGCCTCACCCATTGTTGCCACTTCCACCACTGCCATCGCCACCATAGTCGCATCACCCCCCACCAACCCCATGCCTGAGTCTTCCAGTATCAACATGTGCCCCATGCACACCCAATCCGTCGGTAGTCTCGCCCGTGAACTTGCAGGTGAGCAACGAGCCGGCCCCACCATCGCCACCAACCTCTCGGCCATCCTCCAAATGCTTTCCACCGTACAAACCACCGTTCAAACCTCCCTCACTCACATGCGAGCCATTATCTCCGCTCTCTCCGATCGCATGACCACCTTCGAGCAACAAGCTCCGACCATCATCATGTTAACTACAACTCCACCCCCTTCCACATCCGGACCGACCACCTCCTCCACTCCAACCTCCACCACCACGCCTTCCTCCACCTCTCCTCCTCCTTCGTCATCATCAACCACCCTTTCCTCCAATGACTCTACCCCACCCCCCACTTCTTCCACTTCCACCCCCCCACTTCTTCCACTTCCACCCCTGCCATCACACACCTTTCCTCCCTCTCCTTCCTTGAGTGGGTCCCCCTCCTCTCTGGCACTTTTGCAAGCTTCGCCAAAACGGCCCGTTTGACCGCTTCGTCCAATATGTTTGTACCCTTCGCCAAAACATTCCCCACGACCAGATCAGCAACAGCGTCTTCATTTCCCCCTTCAAGCGGGTCTGCCGCAAGGGCATTGCATCTGCCCTTGGCCTACGAGCCACACATGTCCTCCACCGACCTCCTCACCCGTGCCCTTCAACACGATCACCTTCTCTGCCCCGTCGCGTTCCCACCACCTCCCGTCCACACTTCTTTCACAACATCTCCACGGATGAGACCGACATAGCTTCCCCCTCCGACGATGAGTTCACAACCCTTCTCGTTGAGGACGACACCCTCTCCGACTCCTCCGCCCCGATGTCCCGCAGCTCGGAGGAACTCAACACCATCCAGTTCTTGCGTATGGAACGCAAGGACCGCATGGCTCGACCATCTTCCTCCCCCCAACCCCCCCGTCTCAAGAAACTTACAACCGAAGAACTCGCCTATCTGCAAGCCAACAATGGCTGCTTCCGTTGCCGACAGCTTGGACACTGGCAAACAAATTGCCCCAACGCCGGCCAGTTCACTCGGCACGTGAACAAACCTGCGACATCCACTCCTTCGGCTGCCAACGACCCGACCCTTCTTCATTATGAACTCTGTACCCTTGATCTCGGAGTGCACCTTACTCTACCGGCGACATCCTCCACCCCGTTGGACGAGATCATCACCGCCTCGTGCTCTTCCACCCTCCTCCCCAACCCTTCCTCCATCTTCTTCTTCGATGTTGTTGCGGAACAAGCACGACTCGATCGACTTGTTAAGTTAGGCCTCGAACAACGCCGCCTCAACACCATGATCTCCTCCTCCTCCGTCGACTCCTCCCGATTCCAACTCAAATTCATCACCGCCTCCCTAGGTGCGTCTACACTCCAGTTCCAGGCTCTCCTTGACATCTGAGTTACCGGTAACTTCATCACTGATGCTTGTGCCCGCAAAGTCGGTCTCCCTTCCACCGGCTATGACTCCCCGATCACCATTAGACTCGGGGATAAGGACACCGTCGTCGTAGTAGAGCGCACCGTTCCCGAGACCACAATGACTGTCGGTTCTCTTCGCAGTCAGGTCTCATTCGATGTCATGCACTTGATGTGCGACATCGTCCAAGGAACTCCATGGCTCGACCATTTCATGCCCTACGCATTCCATCCCACCTTCTTTCGCATCACCACACCCCTCGGCTCTACCCTTGATATTCCCTACTTTCCTCACCCTACCTCCCAACCTTCCGTCACTCCCCACCAGTTTCTCCACATGGGTCGTCACAACCCTGACTCTACCTATTATTGTCTTGTCCTTGACCATGAGCGCCCCGAGGACTTGCTTCCTATGGACAAACCTGACCAAGCCCCCCCTTCCGACCCCGCTCTTACCTCTATCCTCGAGGAGTTCAAGGACGTCTTTCTCGAGTCCTTGCCCGCCGGACTACCTCCGGATCGTGGTGTCTCTCATACCATTGATTTGGAACCCGGTCACATTCCTCCATGTCGACCACCCTACCAGCTCTCCATTCCGGAGGCCGAAGAGATGAAGCGACAACTCAATGAACTCCTTGAAAAATTATTCACACAGACTACCGCGCCCTCAACCAGATCACGATCAAGAACAAGTACCCCTTGCCTCGCATCTCCGAGCTTCTTGATCACCTTCGTGGAGCCAAGTACTTCACAAAGATCGACCTCCGTAGTGGCTTCCACCAGATCCACATCCGCGAAGAGGATACTCGTAAGACTGCCTTACGCTCTCGCTTTGGGCATTACGAGTTCCTTGTGATGCCTTTTGGCCTCACAAATGCCCCAGCGACCTTCTACTCTACTATCAATCACATCTTTCGTGATCTTCTCAAAGTATGTGTCATCGTCTATTTGATGATATCCTAGTCTTCAATCCCACGTTAGAGTCTCACCTTCAACACATTCGCCAAGTCCTCTCTATCCTTGGAGACCAAAAGTTCTACGCCAAGCTCAACAAATGCACGTTTGCTGCCTCAAGTGTAAAATACCTCAGCCACATTGTATCCGCTGATGGTATTCGTATGGACCCTTCAAAGGTCACCGCCTTTGTCGATTTCCCCCCACCTACGACCTTGCTGCAGCTTCGTTTCTTCTTCGGTCTTGCCAACTACACCGCCTCTTCATCCACGACTTCTCCAAGATCTCCTACCCCCTCCACGAGCTCACTCGCAAGAACAAACCTTTTGCATGGAACGAACGTCGTCAAATCGCCGTCGACCTCCTTAAACAAGTCATTACCACAACCCTTGTCCTCAAGATTGCTGACCCCTCTCAACACTTCTATGTTACCACAGATGCCTCAGACTTTGCTATTGGAGCCGTCTTGTCCCAACAATTCCCCCACGACATCTCGGATCCCCCCTCCATCAAGGATTCCCCCACCCGCTCCGAGGCTCCACCCAACGAGTATCCTATTGCATTTGCAGGCAAGAAGCTCATCCCTGTGGAGATGAACCATCCCTCCAATGAGAAGGAACTCCTCGCCGTCATCCATGACCTCAAAGTCCGGCGCCCATACCTCGATGGCCAGCACTTCACTATCTGCACCGACAACACCGTCGTCTCAAGCATACTCACCAAGAAAGATATCACACCCCGCCAATCTCGATGTTTAGACTTTCTCGCCCAGTTTATATTAACCATTCGTCACACCCCCGACGAAAGCAACCGCGTCGTTGATGCCCTCTCTTGACGACCCGACCACAAGCCCCCTGAGAAAGTCTACGCCGCCATAACTCATGTTCAACTCCTACCTTCACTCCACCACCGCTATACTCACGGGTACTCTTCATGCCCCGATTTCTCTACCATCTACAACAAGCTTCGTGACCTCGACACCGTCCCCTACTACTCCCTCCACAACAACCTCTTGTACATTCACACTAAAGGCAATCGCCGATTTTGTATCCCTAACTCACGTGGTCTTCGTACCCAACTCTTGGTTGAACACCACGATGCCAAGACCGCATGACACCTTGGTTTCCAGAAGACATTCGACACCATCTCTCGCAACTTCTACTGGCCCTCACTCCTCGCCGACGTCAAAGCATACATCTGATCATGCCCCACTTGTCAAGCAGTCAACCCCTCAAACCAGGCCAAGCCTGGCAAGCTCCAGTCATTGCCTATCCCCACCCATAGGTGGCAGTCCATCTCTATGGATTTCATGTGCGGTCTCCCCAAGACCGACCGCGGCTATGGCTGCATCTACGTCATTGTTTGCCGCTTGACCAAGCAGGCCCTTTTCATCCCTTGCACCACTTCTCACAATGCCAAAGACGTCGTCACACTCTTCTTGTCGCACGCCATCACGGTCTCCTCAAAAACATCATTTGTGACCGTGATCCTCGCTTCCTTTCCCAATTTTGGAAAAAAACTGTTCAAAGCCTACAACATCACTCTCAAGTACAACCCTGCATTCCATCCCCAGACCGATGGCCAGACCGAAAATATGATTGATACTCTTCAAAGGATTCTGCGGAAGTATTGTCATCCACACCAGCACGACTGGGATTAGTTACTCACCGCCGCCGAGATTGCCTACAACAACGTTGTCTGCCCTTTCACTGGCATGTCCCCATACTACCTTGACCTTGGCTACCATCCCCGCTAGCCCTCGGACTTCTTGCTCCCCTTGCAGCTTAACCCATCCACTCCCTGTCCCTCTCCCAATGAATGGGTTGCAACAAGGAATTTCCTCCTCAGAGAAGCCACTGACGCCCTTGAAAGAACAACAACAATCCAACAAGACCAACAAGTACAAACGAGATATCACATTCAAGGTAGGGAACAAAGTCTGACTCTCCGCCAAATGCTTTGAACCCTAACATGGCTTGTACAAGAAACTCTCAAACAAGTGGCTTGGTCCATTCCCTGTCACTGAACAAACATCCCCTGTAAATTACAAACTTCAACTAACCCCTGACATGAGCCGTGTTCACCCTGTCTTCCATGTCGAGTACTTGACAGAATACCATGAATCACCTCCACAATTTGCCGACCACCCGTATCCTAGACCTCCACCAATAGATGCTACCTACCGGACCAGAATTCGTGGTAGAATCTATCATAGGACGAAGAACAACTCAAGTATCCAATCACCCGGAACCAATCGCTGAATACAAAGTCAAATGGACCGGATACCCAGATGAAGAATCTACGCGGGAACCCCTCGATAATCTCAAGAACGCCATGAAACTTGTCCGTGCCTATGATCATGCTCACCCTGTATCCTAGTTATATACTACGCATAACACCCATATACCCTGCATAAACCTTGCCTCATTGCTCTACACACACCCCCTGCACCCAGCAAAACCCCTGCCCCTCGGCCTCTCTCTATCTGATCCGTTCTTGCCTCAGTCTCATTTCCCAATCTGTCCTCTGCCACATCCTCTATCTCTCTTGTCCAAGCCTTACTTGTGGCTCCTCCGCATCACCCGCGATAAAGGATCTAATGGCAAGCGCACGAGGATGATGGCCTGCTGCAGCACAGTTCGCGGAGATTAAGCAGCTGGTTGGCCACCATGCTGTCCCATTGGCCAGCACCTGGACTCGCAGACTTCTGGAGAAGCACTCTTGACATGGACATCAGGATCAGTCTGTGATCTGCTATCCGGATCAGACTTCATCATCAGGATCGTGTACAGGACACACCCTGGTACTTGGACCTTCATCTATTGGACTGCTACACTACTTCTTTCAAGCTGGAACCCTCGCTACTACATGTCTCAAGCCTGCTGAAGACTGGTTTATCATCAGCATTCTGTACCTGGACTTACTTCAAGACCTGATTCAAGACTCTCAGCCCCACCATTTTTCAGATGCGATTTCCCCCCCAACCCCATTCGCCCCGAGATCCTCAGAAACCCCAATCCCCAAACACTGCAAAATAATTTTCCTCACAGAACCCTTTCGCCCCAATAGTTCATCAGTAGGACAACCCTTTTCCCCTCTCAGATCATAACTCTGTAGTCCATCAGTAGGACAACCCTGTTCCCCTGCAGTTCCTAACCCTGTAGTTCATTAGTCGGCAAACTCTGTTCCCTCTCACTAGCCCATCAGTCAGCATACCCCGTAGCTCATCAGTAGGAAAACCCTGTTTCCCCCAGCCCTTGCTACCCACATTATACCCCTCTCCCTTTTTCTTCCTGCTTCCCAGTGATCGGCGCCGTTCTGTCCTTCACAGGATTCCGCATTTCATGACTTTTGGCAGCTGGGACGTTGCCTTCTAGAGGGAGGGGATAGTGCTACGGACTCCGCCAGGGCTCGATCCCTGGTCTGCGGGTTGCCACCCGCCAGCTTGCTGTATTTGGTTTTTTTTTTTTTTGTTTTGCAATTCTTTTTGTTTTTGATTCTTGCATTTCTTATTTCGGACAGATGGCGCCATCTGCATTCTGGTGCCCGTTTTCAAATTCCTTCTTTTAGGACATTATGATTTCGGACACTTGGCGCCATCTGACATTCCGGCGCCCACTCTCAGAGTTTTGATTTTCAGTTCTGGCCCTCAGGCATTTTCACTTTCGCCCTCAGGACCGTACTTGAGTCCAGTACTTATGTACGGACTCGAGCCCATTACGGGCACCAAGTTTTCAGCCTCAGTGCTTGTGTTCAGTGCAACTTTGCTTCGACATTGTGTTCGGGAATTCAAGACTGCGACTTTGTGACTTTTGCCACTTGGTGTCTGCGTCCGTCGAGTCTGCTTCGAGTTGAGTGAGCTTGTGTGTGTGCTCTCACTCTCCCTCTCTCTCCCAGCCTCGCTGCTCTGCCTCTGCTTCGTCACAGCCACTGTTTGGACATCCAGGCATAAGAAATGACGGCAGCCATACTTGGTCACTGGCAAATAAGGAGAAATGCTGGCACAACTGGGTGTCGCTCACAAAGGATGTATGGGATCGGCAAACCACCAGTGGCATAACAGTCCAGAGACTGAGGAAGCAACTAGAAGGGAGGCACCACCTAGAAG